TATCACTTTTTTCCTGATTTTTTGAAATTATTTCATCCATTTCTTTTGATTAAGTGAACCTAGCAAACTACGTTTACATGCACAAGGCAACCATAAGGTCATTGAGTACCTTAAGCGTCAGTCCGAACTTGGAGTAAAATTCCTTCTCCTCCTAAATTTCTATTAACACCTGATATGGTATCATTAATCACGGTAATAGCTGTGAAGATTAAGAATTGAAACTGAAAACTTTAATAGTTCGACTGAGGCCGCTAGTTCGGACTATCCGGCTTCTCAGAGACGAAATGGTCGCGTCGCGGTGAGAGGGGCGTCGCGCGCGAAGGAATGTAGCAGGATGCGGCAGCAGGTAAGAAATACAAGAACAAAAGTACTAATAGTAGAATTATGCATAAAATAATGATCGCATATCGATTGAGCTGTATGAGGAACGCTAGAGCTGTAATAACGGCGAATGAGTGGTCCGCGACAGCCGCGTGCGGCAAATCGATTACCCAAAATCGTTCCTAACGCCCGTCTCCCATCTCATTAGTCTTTCTAAAGCCACCATTCTTTCATGTTGGTGGTGCTGTGGCCAGTAAAGTAGCATGGGTCTTCTGAAGAACGTTTGTTGTGTGTCCTCGAGCGATTGTGTGGTGTGCGTGTATCTAGCCGGGCACAAAAGTGATTTTTTCTGACGTTTTCTCACACACGCACTCACCTTTAGCGATCGACGCCTGTTCGCCGAAAGCTACGACGCCGTCTCACAGGCCAGGGATCCGGACGATTGGCTAACACACAAGTTGAGGAAGGTCAGAAGTAAACGCGAACTGGAACCTGATCAAATGCAACGACGTAATCAGGAGAAAATGCTCCTGGAGGTAAGATTTTTGTATACGATAAATTTTGTCGACTCTTCCTATGGTGAAATTACATGACGTTAGTCGAGCCAATCGAAAAAATGACCTATTTGTTCCGATGCCACTAAAATTGAACTGACGCCACGCCCTTACCTACTTTTCTGATAAAAAGTAATCTTTTCTTCTGTCTTCACCCACCATTGAACCGGATGCTGAAAGAGCATTCAGGAATGCCGTGAAATTCTCTTCTGTTGTCTACCGAAGAATGGGAGGGGAAACGCGAGGCTTCGGCCGAACCATTTCGGAGTGCGCCGTGCATTTAATTTCTATAGAGAAGTATCAGGCGTTGTTGAAATTGTTATGATAGCCTTCTGAGTCTACACTAAATCCTAGACCATGCTTGAGACCTCGATAGAAGTAGCCGAATGAAGTTTAAAATATGAAATCTTTTGGTGTCAATCGATNAGAAGTATCAGGCGTTGTTGAAATTATTATGATAGCCTTCTGAGTCTACACTAGATCTTAGACCATGTTTGAGACCTCGATAGAAGTAGCCGAATGAGTTTAAAATATGAAATCTTTTGGTGTCAATCGATTCCGTTCATGGAAAGCGCCTCCTCATTCGATTTCCACTCAGAATCTTAGTGTCGATGTGTTAGAATCGTTTTGAAGAACATGTGGGCTATACACAAGGGCTTGTGATGATCAATCGATGCACAAACCAGAGCTTTTATCCACCCAGGCGGGTGTGACACCAATTAGGCGACCCTAGAGGTATGGGAGGCTTGCCTGGCCCAAACGACTACCATTGGGGGAATCGTTTCACGGGCCATGTGCGTGTAACAGAATGTCACTTGGCCACGTCCTCCCCTAAAAGGCTCGAACAGGTACGCAAATTCCCGAAAGACTCGATTTTTGGTACAATGCAGTCAACCCGAACTGACGAGACCCAACACTTTTGTGCATTAGACTATTCTCAGCTCCCGGGAGAACTTTTTTCCATGCTTCTCAACCAAATTCTTGGTCCACTTTCTCTTCACTCAATCCCTTTCTCGACTCCCCCAAGTGAAGTGTGGGTCTCCGAACTTGGTCCACCCCAAGTATAAAGTGCAGGGGGAGTGCGGACGACATCAGATTTCTTCTTTGAAATACTGAGTTGTTGAAAATGGCATTGAAATGTGGACACCTGCCTCTCCGTTCACTACATAAAATCGTTTAAACGGCCTTTGTGAATGTGTGGATGTAGTAAAGTGCAGACGTGTGCCGTCACGACGACTACCGCCACACAGCTGTGGTCTTGTTCGAGTAAGACAGCCAGAGAGAGAGAGAGAGAAAGAAATAGAATCGAAGGCCATTTGCAAAGCCATGAAATGTGTTAGTTTTTCTGAAGCCACGTTTTCTATTCCCATAGAATTGGATTATTTCAAAGACGCCGCCCGCTTTCAGGAGTTGAAAAACGCCCACGACGAGAAAGATGCACAACGAGGTGGTCCACGAGACGAAACGCAATACACCGTTGAAGGTTGGTTTCTTCGATTTCTCCAGGAAACTTATAAACTGTTTTGCTTGAATAGTGCTAAAGAACTTATATTCTAATTCAAATTTGAAACTTTGCCTTCAAGTACTTCAACAGTTAATCCCTTAGTTTCGATTGAATTTTTTAAAAAAATTCTCAAGGGATCTCGACTGTTGGATGTAATCCGCTGCAGCTATGGTATCAGTTTACAATATTTGTTTTCCATTTCCTCTTTCTTCTCCACCGTATACTGCTTTACTTGATTGATTCCGCGCTGCTTGTTCTTCACCTTTCTTTATTTTTTCGATAAAAATCGGATTTCCCTAATAGTGAAGGGAATCCGTTGTTGAAGGTTTCATCAAGGGAAATCTCTTGAGAGAAAAACAAATGAGAACGTTAGTTTTGCTTCTGCCTCGAGGTTGTTAGGTGGGAATCTTTATTTTGGCCAACGTTTCGACGGACTCGTCGTTTTCAAAGTAGAAGCAAAACCAACATTTTCAAGAACAACAGCAATGCCGAGGTTTCAAGATAAGAGAACTTGGAATTTGATACAAATGAGAACGTTAGAAAATATTTTCATCTGCTCCCGGTTAATCCATCTTGCAGTGACATCTTTTTAAAAGTTGCCCTGTCCAAGATGAGATCAGTATTTACAAACAAGTTCACCGCCAAATACGTTCAGTATCCGATGCTCTTGAAATTCTCACCGAAATTAGGCATAGGTATGGCCCACTTGATAGGCACCGGGGCCATAGCTGTAGCTGAACTTTTCTCATACATGCCTATCCATCGTCTCTCTTGCCATCTCAAGCTGAATCTTTTCCACATGCAAGGCGTACTTTCAGGGTCTGGAACGCCGAGTAAAGGATTTTGCTGTTTTTTCACCATCAGAACTAGAATCGAAAACCTAGTTTTTGGCGTTATTTGACTCCTCCTGAGGGACACGCCCTGCACTCTACTTCCGTTCATAGTCGTGGTAGCGTTTTGAATGTGTATATTGCCTATAGTTCACTTGGGGTGGTCAGCCGATGACTTGGCATGGATTTTATCCTCCCAGACAACACTGGTGCCAACTAATCGACCCGAGAGAGATGGAAGGCTTGTTTGTTGGGTATTAAGCCGGGATTCGATCCATGTTATAGTTTGCGATATATTGCCACTGCTCCACTACTTTCCTGGATTTAGTTACATCAAGGCTCGGAACCATCTACTGACTTGTGACTCCTTGGTTTCGTCCTGAAGTGACTTCGATGCTTCGAAATCGTCAGTCACTATTCCTTAGAATCTTGTTAAACCATTAGAATGTTTCCCCTTTAAATTTCCGTGAAGGTCACACTGGATTGGATTTTATTTCTAGAAACCGGCGATAGGAGATGGCAGTCATCTTCTCGCGAACAATTTTCTTTCATCTCAAGAAGAAAAAAATTCTAGAAATCGATCAATAGCTGTGCTCAAATTTACACTTTCGCCGTTTTCTCAGTCAAAGTGTATTTTGTATGCAGGTGTTGGAACGCGAGATCCTTTGGCAGAGTATCGACGTGAGGAACAACGTTTGAAAAACACGAACAGTCCGTTTGAAGACATGCCCAGGTGAGTTTCGTTCTCTTTTCTCTCACCTCCTTCTCCTTGATTCTACTGCATATTAGGATAATAGGAACTGCAATGTTAAATGTTTTCAATAAAATTATGAGGATGAAGCCGTGGTTCTCATTTGTTTATTTGTTTATTATATTTCTTTATTAGTTTACATGTGTTCTTCAAAATGCGACATATGTAAAAAATCTGAACTTGTAAATATACTAAGGTTTTGAAGAGTAAGTGTCAGTTCCACCCTCCCCCTTCCCCCGAATATGGGGACAAGCTCTACGTAGGATTCAAATATTAACGCCTCTTGCTGGGGCTTGCTGGTCATTCGACCTGAACGGCAGCATTTTTCGTGAATCTCAGGCAGACATATGTGGAGCCCGAATGATGCGCTCCAGCAACATGCCACATTACTGCCCAATACTGGTGTCTAGTTTTGGCATACGCTACGATTTGACCTCCACTTGGGATACTACTGGAGTACTTGAGCTTTTGGTTTATACGGTGACCAATAGGGACATGTAGATAAACAGGTAAAGTATTAGCCCTTCTGAATGATCCTGGTACCATCACGCCGATCCCGTCTGGTACCATCTAAGCGATCCTGAAGCAGCGGAAAGATGCCCCGCAGATCTGATACAGGATATGTATTAGACGCAGACTATTCACGTGATAGTGGCATGTTGTTGAAGCATCCTTGCTTGTTTCCCCACCCCTTGGAGAACGCTGGAGTGAGGTTATGTAGGTAGAAGTTATCTGGGTACAACAGGTAGCCGGCATTATGTCTTCATGAGGAATTTGGTTCCAGTCCAGATTTTCATTAAAACACGCTTCAATTTTGAATGGGGTCAAATGAGGGGCTCATTCTAGAATGGGATAAATCCGTACCAAAAACTCTCTCACTCATTCTGACTAGGCCCGAAGGGAATCTCCATATTATTCGCTGGTGTGCTCCGAGTTACTCGCTTCGAAATATCTCAGTGCTTTATTTAGTAAGCTTGGAAAATAATTTTTATGCCAGTGTTTCAATAGCACCGATGTCTTCAGTGATGGCTTATGTTGGCTTTCAGAAGATCTGAACATGTGCTTGGCAATTCCAGACGAGGTCGCCTTCGTAGCAAGCCTCCAACACCTCCACCTCGTGATCGTAGTCGCAGTCCAGCAAGAAGTGAACGAGCAACGCCAAGTATCGAGGTGAATAGGTTTCCTACACTGTTTTCTCTCCTTTTTTTCTCAACATGTGGCTGAAAGGTTTTTCTCCCTACGACTGCTTCTTGGCTACTCGCCAATTGTGTGAATAGAGAGAGTCCATCTCAAGAACACAGAATGAACTCGTCCACTTAAAAAANAAAAAAGATTTTTTCGCCTCTTAATGACCCACAGGTCGATATTTTTAGATACATAGTTCTTGAGTATTTGATTATTGAGAACAGAGTTGTGAGTAGTCTCGGTTCAACAACTCTTCGGGCATAGAAAAACGTTTACGACCAAAAGAAGTGTGAATTTTGATGATTTTGATTTTGAGTGATTTTTTAAATAACTTCAATTTTTTGAATCGAGAAATTCCAGAGCTACAACTATCGCAATCACAATGGTGTCCATGATTCGAATTCGCATGATTTCTCAAATCTCAACACTATCGTCTATGTGAGTCATTTCATTTGACATGATCACTGAGGTGACGAGAAAGTAATTAGGTTGTATGACAAATACAGGCCCTGCCTAATCCTGTGATCCTGTGGGTCTTTTTTGACTTCAAGGGGAACTCATCTAGTATTTTCCTGGACTGTTCTGCATGATCTGAAAGGTCACTTATGAATTTATTGGCAAAGAGCCAGAATTTTCCGAATGGCAGATATTCTACGCCCATTGATTTGGAATGGTCACTAGGATACTATATTTTTGAATGCGGCTTTTGCATTCTGACCTGAATTTTTCGCTCCGGTTGGGGCATGAGCCCATCCTACATCAGCTCGTCGTTGCAGTCTACAAAACGATCCCATCGCCTCAGTCCGGTGTATAGTATCGCAGAAAATGTATGTGCACCTCTTCCCCTGAAAGTTGCGGGAGCTTTCTCCCTAGAAGAAACCGATCACCTTTACCTCGATTCTCGTTTGCTGCGTTTCTGCCTGAGTAGTCCACCGTTGTGATTGAACAGAAATAATATTTATGCCGGAGGAATTTCCAGAATCTTCGAAATCTGCAGTTTATGACTGCAGTTTACGAAAAAGAACGTAGTGTACGCTCAAGATGGTCAAAATCCACGATAACTCCTTTCCATTAAAGGCACAGTTCACGGTAATTTTGGGTAATCCAGGTTATGATAAAAAATGGAGGACAATATCGAAAATAGTGCGATGAAGGGGAAGAAGCTGCGTGAATCGGGTCTCAGAACGAATAGTTGCAATCTGTATTGTCTCGACACATCTGACCGTCTGACGTGACATCGATCGAGAGGCGGGAAGGCCGTTGACTTCCCGACCATTGAATTATCGTGACTGTGCCTTTAAAATATCGTATTGTATGTATAGTCGCAAGGGGTCCTGAAAATTTTCTTAGCGCATTAGGAGGGACTGGATGATTTGCATGCTCGAAAATACCTAACTTAGACGTAGTAGTGATCTGATCTAAATAATATAAAACGTTTTCTTTTCTGTGTATCTAGCGGACTTACCATACCTAAACTACCTTACCATACTGTAGGACGTCATGAACGTGGCGCAATCTTGATTCAGCGATAGTCGAGCACTTCCCCCTTCATCTGATTCGTTAATTTGTTTCCCTCAACGACCATATGGGTCGTTTTTGCCTAGACATATCAGCTTATTTGCATAATGAGGAAGGTCAAGCGTGGATCACGAATAGTGAGGGATCGTATTTTATCATTTGAGAAGGGAATAGAAGTAATTGGGATCTTGAGGGAGAACTTACCTCAAGAAGATCCCTAAAGGGGTGGGTTTTGAATAACCGTGAGGCGAATCTGTTGAGGATTTCAAAAAAAAAATTCTGTTTCACGATCATATCTGTCTTACTCGACTCTGGATTCTGGTTGGGTGCAAGTGGAGAGTCATATTCCAGGGTGGAGGTGTTCTTCAAAAGAGCTATAAGATGATTCGGGTCTGATCTGAATCAGAAGCTAATTCAACGGAAATTTCAAAATTACATAAATATAATTGTAGTTGTAGTAAATACATAATTATACAATCATGTTTTCTCCCATGTTCCGAATGCTATTGAGCTTGGGGAGGGTGGACTACTAGGTATCAGGGGTATATTCAGAGGTTGGGTCGCTTGAAAACCCTCTATACCGTAACCTTCAGCTTAACCCTGATAAGAAGTTATGCCGTAGATTTGGGCCAAATACAGATATCATGGATTTTTAAAATTTTCTACAATCTAGTAGAGCTAAATGGGGTACTGGGTGCGTTTTGCATGTTGACGGAAAATCTGATAACTTTAACTGTAGAAGTTTATTTCTCCAAGTTTCTTCATTTAGGGTCAACTTGTTATCGATAGAAAATAAAAGGGAAAAAATCTTTTTTGAAAAAATGGGTGCAGACCTGTACTTTTTTGAGGAAGTGTAAGCAAACATTCAAGTTTTTTTTTAGTGCAACGGAGGCAGATTAAACAAACCCCTCTGGAAAAAATTCTTTGAAAAAAAGCAAGTGTTTATATAAAAGTCTGCTCTCTTTCATCGTTACTGTTAGTAACTTTTGCTGTTATCAGTTACTTTCATCAAATTGTATTCAGGGCAACTCTACGGCAACACCATATACATCGAAATCCGAGCAGCATATCCCGAACGGTCATCTGCCATCATCAACAGGCCGTCGTGAGCCTGCAAGCGGTATCCTTCGCGGAATGTCGCACCAAGAACAGCGTCCCGAATCGCGCCCCACCCTTCAACGTCGTCAATCCTTTGGTACCGAACGGCCACCGTTCCAATACGCTGACACCACTATACAACGTAACCCTAATGAACCACCCAAATACATCTCAGGACAGGTGGGTAACTCTTTGAGAGCTTTAAAGTTACTGTCTGGAACGTATGGAGTTGTTCAAGGAGCGTGTCGCAGCAGCTATCTATCGAGCTGAAACACCCCAGCGGGAACTCTACGCCAGTGGAACCATACACCGATCTGAGACGCCCAATCGGTACTTCCCCGAAAATGTCAGTTTTTAAATCTGTTTCAATTTTATATCCAAGATTCTGAATGACCTTCGGGAAATATTCCTTATAGAGCTCATTTTTTAGGGAAAGGCTTTTCAGAGCACATTCGGTCGCAGTGAAACACCAGCGTTTCCGATTTTACGTGAAACGCCCGTGCCTTTTCATCCTCTCCTCTATGGCCAAAATGGCACCAGTCGACAAGATCTGGAATCATCAAATACGCTCAACTACAGGTATATTGATTAGCAGAATCGATCGATTATTGGCTGTGTTAAATTTTATATTGCATACTAGAAGGGAAATAAAGGCAAAAATGTGATTTGAAAAGGTCCAACAAATTGATTTTATCCTGGAACTAAGAAATTCCGAGGACTTGCTGTTCGTAGCCTCTACGGAAGTTTAGAGGCCCTCAAACTCTTACGGTATCGATCGATAATTGATCGCGGGTGGAAGTGGCAATACTTTTTTCAACCTCATTTCAATGCAACCCACACACCCTTCCTTCTTCCTAACTTAAGGGGACCCATCAATGTGGTACAAATTCGCTTAGCAGAAACCGTTACGGTCACATTGGTGAATACTTGAATTTCGCTTGAAACAGGAAAATTTGGGAAACTTGAAATCTCTATTTTGATGGTTCTCATTGATGGCTTGAGAAACCAGTTGCCTTTGGAACCTTTGCTCCTTTTTAGAACCCCCTGTGTCGGGTGATTTTCATAGACCCAAAGATGGACTTTTCAGATCGGCTTCTCCACGTTCCCAGTATGCTGGGCAATTGAGTCGGCGATCTTCGTTGGTTTCTCTTGGTGAGTTTCTAGGGTAATTATTCAATTCCCCTATTCAAATTTCCTAAGACGATCTTCAAAAAGAACTCCTGATGGATACCAATTAATAGTAGAATATCGAGAACAATAATCAATACCAATCGATAATATGCTGTCCTAAAATTCGTCTAGTTCATTAGAATAGCTCGTAGACAAAGCCCAAGAAACTGGACGTTCTGCTCGCATCTTGGCCTACAATCAGGGCACCTCTGCTTAGTAAGATGTGGTTGCACAGAGGATGCAGGTCCGAGACAGGATCGAAATCGAGTTGGAAGAATTCTAAGGNGCCTGTTCGCTCTCGATCTGCGGATGTAGCGCAAGGGCTGCAGGATTGTGTGGTAGGCTGGCTTCTGAGTGAGGGTCTATTGTTCCTCATGGTTTGTTACTGTAGGCAGAGCGAAACGATTGAATTTCATAGAAAGCAGAATTGAAAATGTAGAAGATTAACTGAGATGAAATCGGACTTCAGAGAGTGTAGGGGTTCTAATGGTTTTAATGCTGCACAAGTATGTACTCTACTATGAGTCGCCCTCGGAGCAAATTTAAATTAATTGATCAATTGGGAGTCAACAAAGTGCACTTGCCACCTTTTGGGTTCTGTTTCCAACATTTCAATTTTTTTCTGTAAAGGTAGATGCCATAACTGGGTTTCCTGTCCCAGACTGTCTTCGAGTGAGGATCAGGGAATGAGTACCTGACAGTTAGGGCAGTTGACTTTTTCTACATGGAGAGTAGTGAATGTAGAAGTGGTGAAGTGCTGAAGGCGATTTCAACCCAACGCTAGAAAATATCGAGTGCAAAGGTGGATCTCCCATTACAGGGCTCACGAATTATCTGGTGCTTCAAAAGTCCTCCAGTGAGTTCCGATCTGAAAAGCCAAGAGCTTCCAGGAAACCATCGGAGATTATTCCATTTCCTTGGATTTTGATATACGTGCCCATTCTGATGTTTTCCCCGTCCTCTGAATTGGAATTGTTTGTTGTCCGAGTCAAAAGGAATGATTTACGAGGGCACAAATTCTGCATATTAGATAGGTTTTTCAAGCCATTCCTCCCTCTTTTGAAAATGTTTTGATGATCAACAATGACGCATGTATCCTACTGGTAAACAAATCACATCCAAATGAATGATGTGGTCAAACTGAAAAGGTCCCTACGTGACTGTGCCCTCAAGTGATGCCCATGGGAAGCTGAACATGCTTACTTCATCTTTCAACTAAATNGCGCCAGCTTCTGACGTAGTGGTTATGGTAGTTCGGAGTTAATGTAGCATGGGATTTGCGGCTTATGAAGCATAAAGGATGGCTGTTTTTCTGCTCAGGACCCATCTTTTTGAAATTGGTTAGATGCGATTACGTGCTTGAATGAGTTCCCAAACTCGAAATGCAGTAATTTTATGATTGCATGGAAAAGCCCAAAATGGGTATTGCTTCCTACTTCAAAAATTCTCTACATTTCAAAGGATTGAGCCATGACTACAGACCTACTGAAGGATAAGAAGGTAAAGAAACCCCGCAGATTGTTGCCGATTCCCTCGAAATAGATTTGTAGTTCCGATTTTCGTCGTATGACTCCCTCCTGCATACGAAAAAGCAAATTTCTGGCCGGTGTCATTTCTCCGTACACTTTGACAGATATGTCTTGAGGGCATACTTTACCACTTGTGAAGTACGCATTCCACAAATATCCTCCTGAGATTCACAAAAATATATTTTTCTACTTCTGAGAGTTCAGATGAAATATTGCCGCCCATCTGATGAATTGAACAAGAGCATCCCAAGCGTCGAAATGATTAATGGCAGATGGTGAACGTCACTCCTGGCGTTCCAAGATCCTCAAACATGTCCTTTTCCGATTTTGGAAGATAGTGGTAGTTTTTGTCCGATAAACCCGGAGGATTGTCGGAAAGGTCATTTCCGGGAAAGGAAGGCCCATCAGATTACCAATTATTACAAACACATTTCCTAGTATTAGAAAGAATGTGAGCTTTTATTGGCTCTTAACAGGCACGAACATTCTCCATCAGCAATAAGTAAGTGTACATGGGAATAAATGAGGATAAGGTCGTTTACCCGTGAACTACTCCCATTTTGGGATACGCTCACACGTTTGACTCACATTCGGAATCGTAATGGCGATTGAATGCGTATGTGGCCTATACAATGACATGCTGAGGCTAGAGGATGTGCAAGTCTCCACTTTTATCCCCTAGACGAGCCTAACACGTACTAACTGATCCTGGGGGAAGGCCTTTTCGGCCTGGGCTTATCAGACCAGGATTCGATCTTCAGACCATGTGTGATAGCACTTGACACTGAACCATCTCCGCCATCAATTTAATTATAATACCATTATTGGCGACTCGTTGGACGATGCAAAATATCGTTGACTATAAACAGGGAACACAAATAATAAGAGTACACGCTGATCCAGGCTAGATGAACTTTGATACCTGGCTTTTCATAGTTTTGCCAATCGGACTAACACAAAATAAGGAGAGGGGGGGGGGGGGGGGG